GACCGATGTGAAGTTTGGCTTTCACATATTTGACCATTATATTGTCAATATATACCTCCATGGTGGTGCCGAGATGATTGACAAACACCTTATTTACGAGTCATTTGTAAGTGGCCCTAGCGTTTTTAACCTAAAGGGCCTTCTCCTGATCAGCAAGAAGCTCATGTCCTAAGATAGAATAAATGATAAGGTCGATCCATGAAAGGGGAAACTATCCTTAGGACAAGCTCGATTGAGATTTGCAAAGTCTATGCACATTCGCCATTTTTCATTTGTATTCTTGACCAGGACCATATTGGCTAACTAGACCAGATAGTCAACTTCCCTAATGGCCTTAGCTTTCAAAAGCTTGGCTACTACTTCTACGTTGATGGCTTGTGCCTTTTCGATGCCAAACTCTGCCTCTTCTGTTTGATGGGTTTGAAGTTGGGGTCCATGCTAAGTCTATAAAGAATCTCCTTCGATTCTATTCCTTCCATGTCTTCTTACCTCCAAGTGAAGACGTCTACATTTTTTTTCAAGAAAATGATGAGTTTTTCCTTTATCTCCTCCATAATCTTGGAGCCAATGAAGACCACATGACTAGGGTCTTTACCCACCTGCACGGCCTCCAACTTTTTCGATGGTGTTGGCCTGGTATCCAACTCATCCCTCATGTCCAGATCATCCATCTGCACTGTGTCTACTTTTTTTTAAATCATCGAGGACATATAGTATTCTTTTTTTGTTCTTTGTTCTCCCCGCACTACATCAATCCCATTCTCGGTGGGGGAACTTCATAACCAGATGATAGGCAAAAGGGATGGCCTTGATGGCATCGGGGGAAGGCCTTCCCAGAATTACACTATAAGCTGAAGGGGTATCCACGACCAGGAACTTAGCCATAGTAGCCGTCTAACAAGGTGGTTCTCCAAGGATCAGAATGAGCTGCACCCCCACAAGATGGATTTTGGCTGGCAACAGTTGTCCTCGACTGATTTCGAACTAATCGAAGGCATTTAAGAAAATGATATCGGCCGAGCTATCATTGTGTACCAGCATATGATGAAACATTCTTATTGGCAATGATGGATTTGACGACCAAGGGATCATTGTGAGGGAGCTGGCAGCCTTCTAGGTCGGCATCTAAGAAAGTTATCTCCACTTTAGATCACAGTTCCTTCTATACTACTTGGACCTTGAAAAAGTCTTCTGATCAGGTTTTTCGCACGTGGGCTTTCCTGGCAGAGCTAGATTCACCTCCGCCAACAAAACCCCCTAATATGATATGTATCTCTTTGATTGGCTATTGGTGCTACAACTACTGTTTTTCCTGAGGTGGGTTCTAGGGATTTGCAGCCCGATGGTCATCTTGAGCCAAAAATCTCCCAAGATAGCCCTTCTAGATGAAGAACTTGATCTCTCTCTTTAACTAAAAAAAAGTAGTTAATGTAATGGTCGTGATCCTTATGGAAAGGGCAGTATTTGTTCAAGTCTCTCTTGCTCTGGTCAGATCTCATTTTCGAGGGCCATTTCACATACTTCTCGTTCTAAACCTGATGCAGAATTTGAACAACAGGTGCATTCAAGGGTGTTTATTTTTGTGGGGCCAACTTCATTTGGAAGTCGGGTTTGGGGTCCCAAACGATCTTTGACATTTGTTTTTCTTTTGGGAGATCGATCACAGTCCTTCATGGGATTGAAGTCCTTTCTTTTCTTGTCTTTTTGCTGGCTTACTATGGATGAAGACCCATGTCTTGCTTGGAAGACCTCCTCCCCATTGATATTTTTTTTTTTGCCTTTGCCAACATCTCGGCCATGTTGGCATGAGGATTTTTAGAGATAAAGAAAAGGAAATTTGATGGCTGAAGCTCCAGGTTAGCAACAAAGATAGTCAATGTAACCTTGTCAACGAGGTCGTCTACCTACAGAGATGCTAAGTTAAACCATTGTACATAACTCCTCGAACTTTTGTTTGATACTAAGAGGTAGGAGGTCAATTTGAGGTGGGTCATTGTGCTGATAAAGTGTGAAATGAACTGCATTTACAATTATTTGAAGGATGGGATCAGTTTGTTGAACTAGGCTAATGTCAAACCTTGGAGGGTGATGGCAAAGGCTCAGCATCAAATAGGGTCTTGATATTCATGTAACTCCATTTCATTTTTATAAGTATTGAGAAGGTTGAAGGATCTGTGGTACCATCAAATGAGTCAATCTAAGGCATTTTGAATTTTAGTGGAAGAGGAAAATGCAAAACCTCTTATGTGAACGGAGATTTGGTTTGCTGGACCAAGGCTTCCATGGTAACTAGAACTCAGTTCTTTACAACCTCCTTCATGTTTTTCAATTCGTTTTGGATTTCTAAGAAGCGTTTCTCCCATAATTGATCCATGGCATTACGCTATGGAGGAAGTTGTCGATTGCCTGCCCTTTGTCCCTCAACTCTACTGCTCGTCTCGTTTCTAGATTCTTCTCTCAGCAATTGACATTTGATGTTTTCACTAGAATGGCTATGGTGGTTTGCCTCTGTTACACCGTTTAGCAGATGTGGAGTAAATGGCAGATCCTGATGGACTCTTGGTTATTGAGGGTAAGAAGGGATATGATGGTTTGATTTTCTTCAAGGAAACGGAGCATATTTTGCTGGTAATTCTTCGATCCCTCCCTGCATGGGGAGAGGAGTCTGCCGAAGGAGCTGGTGGTAGGGGATTTCGTTACTGGTTGTCTAGGTTTTGATTCATGCCTCTAGTTATGGCTATCAATCAAAAGAAGTGAAAGAAACTTTAAAGGAAAACGACGAAAATAGTTTCCCACAAATGAAGCCAAACTAATAACGTAAAATAGAGGTATGAGGATAACTTTATTACAGGGGAAAATGAAGATAGCTGGATGTGATGGTGAATATGCGTGTGATGATCAAACAAGTGTGAAAGGCTGAAAAGCTCCTCTCAATTGTTGATAATTGAAAATGGAAGAATAATAATCATAATGTAGATTATAGTGGTTCACTAGGCTGAAGAACTTGGCTAGTCCACTATTAATAGAGTGTCTTGCTCTTTTTGTTTATATTTCTTAAGGAAGAAGATTGTTACACTCAAATTGCTTCAAATCATATAGGATATCCCTTTCAATATATACACAACTATCTTTTGTCCTTATCCAAGATTGTGTGGTCCCCTCAGTTTGTTAGGATCATGGGAAATATTTTGTCTGTAGAAAATTTCAGACACTCTTCCACGTGTCCTTCTAGAAGTGATGAGGTTTCATCTTGGGATACCAAGCTTCAAAGGTCATCCATTGAAGTAACTGGTCAATGTTTGGCAGTCCGGGAGACCTTTCCCTCTAGAAAAGCTATTGAAAGTGTGGAGGTCAGCTCAAGTGGAGTTTATAGCTGAGCTGCATTGGAAGACGCCAAGCTTTGATTACGCCAAGAGAGAAATGGTGCTGTTTGTTGACCATTTTGAATCTAGACCCTGTGGTCAAGTTGTTTGAGTTTGGGCTATGATGATCAAAGAATTATCAATTGATCATGGTATTGTCGGCTAGAATATTTAAACTTGGGGGGAGAAGAGGAACAATGATATAGAGAATGGTCCTCCACTCACTATCTCCTTCTCATCGATTCACCCAATTAAAATCAAAGAAATCAAACCCAAAAAACCCACAACATCGAGGAGAGAGAGAGTGGATGTGTGTTGCAGCCAAACAGAAGCCTTTATTATTGATATTATTTTTTGCTTTTTTATGTCTTTATGACAAAATTTGATGAAAGTTAAAAAACAAATTTGGGAGGGGGTGGGGAGGAATAAATTTATTAATTTTCTCCCATTTTACTGGCCTTGATTATAGGCACATTTTTTTAGATTTGCACTAATTCATAAGTATAAGGAGTCAAATGTAAAACTTAATAGTTAAGGGAGTCATGTGAAATTAACCCTAATTTCAAGGAGTTCTATAAAAATCCCACAACAAGAAAAACAGTGTTTGATGACAAGATTAGGCTACTCGGGAGATAAGGTTATCTAATTGATCAAGGAGGACAAAAAAATGAACTCCATTGGTGGTCTTCCCAACATTGTTTGATAAGGATTATCACCAACATTTCAAAAATTATAAGTGTACCCCCTACAATTTGCCTAAACATAATGTGGGTGAGCATAATTTTCTTAAATATTGTTCTTCATCAATATTGCATGTGGCTTACCATTTGCCATATTTATTTACTATTGTTTAGTTGTATGAATAATGGTTTAGTTAAAAGAAAGATTACAGCACCGATAGAAATAACGCGTTGAAAGTTACAACATTTTTAAGGTTAAATTATACTTTTTTTAGATATAAGTTTTAGAATAATATTATTGGGACCTAATTTACTACATAATTTATTGATCTAATTTACTGTAATCTTTAAATTTATTGTAGACCCAATCAAATATTAGAATTTGGTGTTAATCCAATAATTTCTATGAAATTACATTATTATATCAAAAAATTATGTCAGATTTTTAAATCTAAATAATATTATTCTAACTTTTAACTCTAATTATTTATAATTGATTATAAAAATTATAATTTTTAAAAGTAAAGTAACTATGTGATTAAGTTATAATACAAAAAAAAGTTACAATTAAGTAAAATAATCTTTGATCGATCACAAGATCTCATAATTAATAATGACCTTATCTCCGACCGTTATAACTCTACTTTAAAAAATTATAATTTTTAATCCCTACCTCTTTCCCGTTAGTTATTATCGGTAAGTACATTAAGCTTTCCCCGCCAAAATTGATATATTATTTATTTTGTGGCGCACCAAAAGGCACTTGTGTATTTTCATGGCTCACATTATCCTCATCCAAATATATCCAACCAATGTAGACCAAAGAAATCCAAACCCCTCAAAAAATATGAACCAATCGAGAAACACAGAAAGATTTAGAAAAAAAAAAAACATGTTTGATGCCTGAATTCATCTCTCTCATATCCTACCACATCTGATCTGTTGTTCTCTCTCTGTCATGGAAACCATTCTCTCTCCTCACTCTTTCTGTCCTCTCTTCAATCCCAAAACTTCATCTTCAAGGGCCCTTCTCTCTCCTTCCCTCCAACCCAGATCAAATTCACTTCCTCTGACCAAACCCATTTGTTCTACCCAAAATCAGAAACAATTTTTTTCAACACCCACTAGTTGGGTTTCTCATGTCCACCATGGATTAGCAGCTCTAGCCATCTCTCTGGCACTTAACTTTTGCCCATTATTGCCTAGTGGTTCTGCACTAGCATCTGAATTCGATGTACTAAACGGTGGTCCACCTCAAGAATCGTATGTGGTTGATGATGCGGGTGTGCTCAGTAGAGTGACAAAGTCTGATTTGAAGCGGTTGTTAAGAGATTTGGAGTCAAGAAAGAACTTCCACATAGATTTCATCACTGTTCGCAAGCTTACTGTATGCTCATTCTATTCCAAGTGTTTGTCATAAAGTTAAAGTATTTGCTCAATACAAAACTGAACATTTTTGTGTTAGTAATTTTAATCTGTGATTGGAAGTTACATGTTATAGTAATTTAAATGCATTGTACAATCAAATACTTTATTAGTTCTTTGGACGATGCCCTTGTGATGTAATAGAAAATGCAGTTGGTTTGTTTTTAAGGCACAGATTGATAATGTTTTTTAACAATCTTTCTAATCTTTTACTTTTTTGAATGGATTCTAATCAGTACAAGTTTTTTTTTTTCAAACAAATTCTTTTACTAATTCTAATCAGTTAAAAATAACAGTTACAAAGGAAGCATGTCGTTTAAAATGAAAATAAAAGACCTGAAAACATTCATTTCAATACATAATGAATACAGTTATATTTGTTTATGTTAAAGGTGCAGTTATATTTTGGAAAATAGAGCAAATCCGGACAAAAATAGAGGCAAAAATTACCCGCTTTAAGAAAAAAAGTACTTGTCTGTGCACAAAGAAAGTGCTAGTTTTTTTGCTCTTTTGCTTAAAAATGGAAAATTGCAAAAATATTGTTGACAAACGGTGCCTAAACCATAACAACTCAATGACAATGTTGGACGTTCAGAAATTTTATCTAAAAGGTAAGGAGAAGCTTGGGAACTTCTCTATAACTACTGGAGTTGAGAAATGCAATTATGCAAATTTATGGTGTTCACAGGGAATGTGAAAGTTTTTTATGTTCTTTATTGTAGAGCAAAGCAGATGCTTTTGAGTATGCCGATCAAGTTTTGGAGCGATGGTATCCCACAGTTGAAGAAGGCAGCAATAAGGGCATAGTTGTGCTTGTTACCAGTCAAAAAGAAGGGGCAGTCACAGGTGGACCCGCATTTGTCAAGGCTGTTGGTGATAGTATTCTTGATGCCACCGTATCAGAAAACCTTCCTGGTAACTGGATACTTCTTTTTTCCCTCCTTCCAGTTGCCGTCATTTTTCATCTGCGCCAATTCAGAACTTGCCTTTGAAGGGAAATTTTCTGTCAACTAAGTTGTGATTTTGACTGCCTGAAAGCAATGATGGTTTTTTTTTTCCTGCTAATATAATATTTGGAATGAAATGAAAAGCAAGAGAGCAGAGAATATACCAAGGAATAGCATCAAACAATGCATGGAACTTGCATTAACCATCGTCGATGGACAAACCTGATATAGAGTCCACTGTGATAGTTGTAGCATACATAATCTTTTGGCTTTGCAAGTCATGATCTTTATTGGCTACAGAAAGTATAACCCTTCTATTTCTTAAATCATAGTTATAAAGTTTCTATATGTATATAATGTGGCCGTTACATCAACAACTACCCAAAAAATCAGGGATTGGAAAAAAAAAAACAACTCAACTAAGAAGAACAAAACAAAAGACTAATTAAGAGGACCGAAAAAAAGACAACCCAACTGAGAAAAACAAAACAAAACAAAAGACTGACCAAAATGCACAAAACAAAATCAGGAAAAAATTTCTATCCTGCATGGTTTTTGTAACACATGCTCTGAACACTATAGATAAATCATTTGTTTGTGTTGAACCCAGATCTTGCTTGTCATGCCAACTAAAAAGTTGAAACCTGTTATTTTCTTTGAAGCTATCCATATGCTTTGGAACATCGCGAGTGTCAAAGCTAGGGCCCTTTAGAGCGGCAATCTATGCAAAATGGACTCTGCAACAACTTTGTAGAAAATAATGAAATAAATAAAATCAAGGAACTTATATCAACATATGTTCTTCAGATAAGCCTATATATTTTACCAAATCAATAGCCATATCTATACTCTGAAGATGCTAGGAGGAAAGTCATCAGGGAAGCAGAGGTCAAATTTTGAGAGATTGTCCAGGTGAAGGCCTTTTTCCTTTTTGTGTTTTAGAAATTGATGATTGCATTTCATTTTAGCATCATTTCTAACCCGTCTGATGCATCTGGTTAAGAGTAATTATTGGGTCCTGAGCCTTTGTTTATCCTTTGCAACCCATTGGGGAGATACTCTTATTTAAACTGGCTTGAGACCCCTAGTTTATGCTACGCCAGTGTTTGAAGCCTTCAGCTATTTTTGTCTTATTAACTGCATGACATTACCTAAAGCTTAAGAAATTAATCGGAAGTTTTAAATATCAATCCCATTTAACTGAGTTTGCAGAAAGCTATATCAAACCAATTGTTGGATTTTGCTAACTCAGTGCATGAACAAATTCTGAAAACCAATATTATCCATAATAAGGTGCCCATTTCTACTGTGGGTTGAAAAGAAAAGGATCCATAAATTTACATTATATATCTGTTTCTTGGGTTTGACTACGTTACCCCAAAAAAAAATTTTGGTTCCGTTACCGCTTACCAATTTTTAGGTTATTTATATCACCTTTTGGGTGAAGCTTACCAACTTTTGGGATACTCTCACAATATGGATTCACTTGCCATTTTTTTGGGTTTGCTTACCACTTTTTTGGTTAGAGTTTGTCACTTTTTATGATAGAACTTGCTACTTTTTGGGGCATTTTTTTTTCCAGTAAGGCAACAATTTTTTTGTTTTGGTATCGTAGTGTTTCCTCTGTCTCTTTGTCCAATGTTACATATTTACAAAAGAAAGAAAGAACTGTATATTTAAATTATGGTCTCGATTGTGAAAAATTAGCATTCAAATTCTAAGGGGACATCTTGGTACCAAGTTGCGGGATAACATAATGGACACAATTAGACTACCTTGAACTTAGCTACTCTATTAGGAGTATTTCTTTTGAGTTTGTTTAAAGGAATTCGTCTGTTGAAGAGACTTGATATGTCACTATTTGGATGGACAAGTGCTCACCATGCATATGATTGCTGTTACTGTTTGCCAGTTTGAATAATTATTTTTTGAGATGCCGACAAAATTAGACAATCTCCAGAAGCAAAGCTTTAGATTATTTCCTCAATCATGTGCACCCTTAAAATTTTGTTTAAGGATGTTGCAATAGTGGATTATCCAATTATTTGGTTTCAAATTGGCAGTCTTGGCTACAGAGGAAAAGTACAATGAAGCAGTTTTTAGCAGTGCTAAAAGGCTAGTTGCTGCCATTGATGAGCTTCCTGATCCTGGTGGGCCTCTGTTAAAGGACAACAAACGGGAATCCAACTTCAAAACCAGGGAGGAGACGGAAGAGAAACGAGGACAGTTTACCCTTGTGGTTGGAGGTCTTTTAGTGATAGCTTTCGTTGTTCCTATGGCGCAATACTATGCGTATGTCTCTAGGAAGTGAGTTACAACCATATTTTTTAAAGTTTCAGGATTATTTTTCTTGAACTGTAAGTAAGGTGCATAAACTGTTCTAATACATGGTCATGTGGAACAATTGGTCCACAAAAAACAAGCAAGTAGAGGATAAATATCGAATTTTTTATGTATGTAGCCCGTGTGAGCGTATCCCTTAATCTCTTATGATCTCTCTTCACTTTAACCATATAATGATTAACTTGTATTATAGCCACATAACATATGTTGAGTGGTGGTTTGAACAGCAAACTCTTTCAGCAAGCTGTGGTTGATGTTTGCGTTTCTAGCTTCCAGTCACATAAAATGATAAAATACCATTCGTCAGGAATCAAATTAATTTCTGTCAGTATAAATTCACGGAGTGTGAAAGGAATGAAATAATGATAAGCATATTTGTTTCTTTAGAATTTGAGCTTGAGAAGGAAAGGCATCTTGTCTGCAAAGGGTGGGTCGGAATATTTCCCAGTGAGTATTTGTGATGATACATACTGATTTGCAGCCTCTGTGTAATGTATTCCATCCCAATTTATGTATTCAGTACTGTCATTGCACCCGTTGGCTGTCACAGAGCTCCCATTCAGAACTTTAGTTAGACCACAGGCTACCCGACTGTCATAGTTCAGTGGTGGACCTCCATAACCACAGCAAGCCATTAGGGGTTGTTCAAATCCTGCAAATTCGTATGTAGAGAAAAATCAGATTTTTCTTCTATTTTGGTTTGAACTTTACAAATGATCAGCAGAATACTAATACATACTAACCATATCGAGAATAGTTTGCAATGAGATTAGATTTTATTGTGAAGATATCCACATGTGTGACATTTGCATCGGAATATTGGCCTTGTAGCTTCTTACAGAGTGCATGAAGCTGTAGGTTTAGAAGTCTGGAAGCTTGGTTATGTGAGCTGACACATCCTAGCTCATCAAGCTTTGATGGATCAGTTCCGAATTTGGCTATATTCTGAGCCAAGCAACCGAGGGGACCCGTGTTATGAATCCAAAAATTTCTTCCCCCTTGATCATATAATTTCTGTCAGAGAAAACAAGTTGAGACTTAGGTCAAAGATCTGAAACAGAGATGCATGGTTGTGTGATGTGTATAACTGAACCGTACCTTAATTCCATTTTCAAATTCTGTCAAAATTGTTGGAATGGAAGCAAGAATTTGATCCAATGTTTTGGAATAAAAGGCACCAGCAAGATCATTCTGGCCTATATCAAACATGTAAAGCCCCTTGGCAAAATAATCTTCAGATGGAAGGTATTTATCAAATTTCTTTGCTGCAATGAAATCAGGAACACACAGTGAAACTTTGCTAGCAAATGTAACTTTTTTTTTCAGTTAGGGTTAATTACAAATGACCCCCCTTCAAGTTTGGGTCATATACCAATCAGCCCCCTCTGGTTTTAATTTCAACAAATTACCCCTAAAGTTCAAATATTTCTCAAACGAGGCAGTGGGTAGATATGAGGCAGTGATTTTCTTCAGGGCGAGGCGATATATATATATATATATTGAGGGAGTTAATTGGCTGGAAAGTTGGTCTCTACCCAGGAAAAAAAAAGGGTTTTTGCTGGAGGGGAAGAGGAAATTGGTCCAGCACCATGGTGAGGAGAAGAGGATGGTTTGGTAGAGCGAGTGGAGAGGGGAATAAAAAAACTTAGTAAGGATGATTTTGTCTTTTCCATGAATTTAAGATCACATGGCTTGCATGTGATTATATGCCGGTGGAAAATAAACGGGTTGGGTTAAATGAAAAATGTTAAAATTTCGAGGGATAATTTATTGAAATTAAAACTAGAAAGAATTTATTGAAACGTGACCCAAATTTGAAGGGAGTAATTTGTAATTGACCATTTTTTATTATACTTGTTTTTTTTTTTTTTATCAGATCTCAAAAATCTTATAATGTTAAGAGGACCCAACATACATTTAGCTTTCAGTTCGAGAACTCGAGCCTTGAATCTGAGAAATTGAGCCACTTGAATACCGAATGAAAATGGGCTAACAGAAGATGCAGTTGCTGGAAGTATAGTAGACCCTGCAGCTGCAAAATTGCATCCTTTTTTAAAACTTGGGGCTCCAATTGCTTCCAGATAGGCATTTAGAAAGGGCATGTCCATTGCATCCACTGCAACACACACAAAAAGTGTAAGGAAACAAGAAAAAGGTGAATTTAATACACAAGCCTCTGTGATCAATTATTTGTGTTTGGAGCCGATGGGAAGGTCGAGAAATGGCTGGAAAGCCAAAGTGATGAGCAAGCCGGTATTAGAATGCTCAGAGAGAATTGAAAGACAGAAGGTAGCAAGAACAGTGTCAAAGACGCGATTAGATCATGTGGAGTTTGATGCGGTGAAGAACGAGAGTTTTTTGTGAATAACACTGGGGTATCAAAGGTGACAAAATCATGGGCCAAACGATCTTTGAATGGTCTGTGGGTGTGAGATTCACCATAGCCAGACAACTTGGTGTCAATGTTAAAAACAGAGCAAACAGGGGAAATGTACAACTCAAATAAACAGAACTGACAAGAAAAATAGCAGAATGCGGCTACCTCAAGTACATCTTTTGTAATGATGAGACAAATTTCGTTAATGGTGAGGAAATCTTACGGAGAAAATCAATGATCAGACGGCCATCGCAGAACCTCCCAGACGGCTTTTGGAAGTAAATTTGTCCGTTAGGCGGGTCAAGGCGTTCGGCAAGTCCAGCGACGAGCCCACCTGTGTCGGAATTGGAATCGCCAAAGTTGAAAACTGCAGGGTAATTGAAATCAATGGAATTGGCATGAGTCAAGCAGATTAGAAAGGTGAGAATCTGAAGGACAGAGAAGGAGTTAGGAGCCATGTCTTGTGGGAACACAGCCTTGTGGCTACCAGTTGTTATGGACCAAGTAACTACCTACAAAACTCCATCCTCTCATTATAAAGAAGTCTGGTGGGTTTTGTCAATAAGTGAAGCTAGCTTTACATTTGGGGAAGCCCAAAAATAAAAGTAGCCATTTTTGCAAAATTACCAATACATCCTTGTATGCACCATGGCCAAATCAACACTTCCATTAAAATGAGTACAGATTGAGAGGGAGAGATTTGACTAAGTAAACTAAATGGTAGCAGCTGTGCAAGAAAGCAACCCAGAAGAAAGATCATAATTTGTTACCTAACTTCTCTCACATTTCATTTTCAGTGACCAAACCGAATATAAATTGACAAGGGTTTGACTCCCCTAGGTATGATTTAAAACTTAGAGATCAAACACAGAAAAGGTGAGAGGATATATCTGGCAGTAAAATTGATTTGTGTAGGCAATTTAGGGGTATCGAAAAAAAGACTTTCAAATCCAAAAGCAAATGGGACCATATCTCAACTTCATTTTTGCAAGCAAATATTGAATTTTGCTTACACGGATGGCAAACTTGAGGCTTCTTTTGCATATTCAGGGAATGAAGTCCATTACTCCAAATCTGACAAAAAGCAATCAAAACCCACACCTTTTCAATAATGACAAGTCCATCCTAATGCATGATGACAGAAATGAAATGAAATGAAAGTTGGGCCACCTCATGAACAACAAATAATGGGATCATTGCAGTTCAAGCTTTGCATTTTGATTGATGATGGTAGTTAAGCAGCAAGGATTGGTTAGTTTCGCGATTCGTCGAGATAGATGATGTACTATTCCAAAAGTGTAAACAGAATTTCAATCAATAGCATCGTCTTTTAGAAAATGACCGGCCAAAATTTATTTATTGTGAGAACCAGGTCAGGGTCGAATAAAGATGAGGGGATTCATAAGCTTATTTACCATTTGGGGTCAATGAGATGCTATCTCAATCTATATGTTGGCCATTGGATCAGCTGGCTGGATTCTACTATTGGTCGCAAATTTGGTTACAACTACTCCCACCCTTTTTGGCGTAACGAAAAAAATGAAACTAAGAAGTTGTCCTAAACTTATATTACCATCATGCTAAATTGATTGGCCCTAACTTGTACCAACTGATCTTAAAGCCTGCTCAAATTGGGCGTGCTCTTTCAGCTTGGAAACATTTAATACAGTGGTTAAACGGCACTGGCTGACTCATTTTGAAGAAACAGGGACATTTGGCAGAGGATTGTGATGAAGCTTTTATGTTGAAGATCATGCTCAGTTCACATCACATTATACAATACAATTCTGGCTCAGTTTCATTCAATACACTCCATTCAAATTCTCAAAGAACTAAATCCCAGGATAAAATGAATTAAAACTCCCCACATAATAAAGTTAGAGTTGGCTGGCCAGATTGATGGATTGATATTCTTGCTGCAGTAGGCAAAGATTACCCTAATTTCTTAGGATCTAGTGTAGTGGCGTAACTGCAACAACTGAAATGAAAATCACAAATGAAATATTAAATCACAAGCAATAATCTCGTATCTGAAGACACTATACAATATTAAAAATCAAACTATTCTTACAATATTTTTATTTTAAATAATAATTTAGTTTTTTTTAATTATGCAATTTAAAATTAAAATAAAGAGAGATATAGATGTAGATGTGAATTGATAGAATTGTTTAACAGTGTGTTGATAAAATTATCTAAAATTAAGAATTGTGCAGAGAAGTTAATGAAAAAAAATTTAAAATAAATCTTACATCATTTGATCAAAATAGATGAAAATTAAATCAATTTTGACCGTTGTTATGTTTTTATAAATTAAAATTTTAACTTCATAACTATAATATTAAATAGATGGATAACAATAGCAAATACGTTACCCAATGCAAATTACAGTCCCATGTCCAGCCCCCCCCCCCCAAAAAAAAAAAATAATAATAATAATAAATAAACCCAACACCACAAAGATAAGAAAGGGAAACAGAAGATTGGGAGAACCAATGAAGACAAAAGAATATTGTCTCATGTCCTAAACTTCAACATGAAATTGCCAACGATGTCCAAGGTATTGGATTGGATGATGCAGAGGTATTCACAGTGATGGTGATTTCAAGGTAGAACCAATGAGTCAGTTTTGTGCATGTACAGAAACTAACATTACATTCAGTCATCTTTCCCCCTAGATATGAAAGAAGGAGCCAAACCAGGAGATGAAACCATTGATGCCTAGAATCCTATGCAGAAAGCTTGGATTTTCTCTAGCCTCTTTCCAATGCGCATCATATCGTTCAGCAGCTTCCACTCTGGCTTTGAGTGCTTTGTTCTCCCCCTCAAGCTGCAAAAGTTACAAAATAGTAAAAATCAACCTGAATTAATGGGATTGAGTTGAGGATGTTTTCATCCTCCCCATCCAATAATTCACACAATAACAGATGAAAAGGTTACTAGGGACCGCTCTAAGGAAAAATAAAGGCCTCCAATAATCTGAACTGACGGAAAAATCTTTAGATTGCAGCTGTATTATTCCGATTGAAACTAAATAAAACTAGACTCTGTTTCTACTTCCATTTTTTCTTCTACCTATTCTACTTTTCTTACACAAAGATGCAAGAGAGGCCATTGATTATCATAGTACGCTACTAGATAACTGCAACTTTGGGTGATAATCCCATGATATTGTTGTATGACCACCTTCCTCACTTTTTTCTCTTACCTCCTCAACAGTAACCAGAAGCTCTTCCACAGCTTGTTGCAAAGAGGATATAGTTCTTGATGTAACATCTTTGAAAGCAGATTCCACTTCCTCATCTGAATTGAAATCATTGAAAATCCCCTCTTCTATAAACAATTCCTCCAGTAACTCCATAACATCAACATCCAGTTTCCCTCTCAGCTGAATGAAAGTATAGAATTTAGATACTAGAGTATACAAAGTCATTGATCAAAAGTATCTATGTATGGATTACCTTGTCTAGGATTTTCTGACATGTCTCATCTTTAGGCAAAGAGGTAGGCCCATGGGTTTTGTCAAATTTATCTTCCTTGCATTGGACGCGGAGTGATGACTTTATATGCTTTGCTCTGCCAAAAGGTAGGTTGCAGAAAGTTTGCAAGAAAAGAAGCAAACAAACAATCTGAGTTGATATTTTAAATTACAAGTTCATGTCACAAGTCTTCAATTTAAACTGGATACATCAACATGACAAGCCTACTTCCTAGTGAGAGTAGGGGTAAAGAAGTCTAACAACTGAAAAGAACATTGTGAGTGTCCAGAAACCAAAATATTAGATGAACAATTAGTCACTGATAGTGATATATTTATGATCTGCTTCATTGTTAGCTGGTTTAGTCATTATTTTAGTTCCAAAAAATAGATTTTTTCACATATAAACAAAACTTGATGGCAAAATCATGGCATGAGAAAATCTAAGTACCTTTTGAATTTTTATCATGAGTGGATGCACCTCAATAGTTGGATTTCTTTAGTGCTCCAAATCCAATGTTGTTTTCAAATTAATGCAGAAAGAAGACCAAAAGTCTTTCATTTTGTTTTTTAACCAGTTACAGAAAAAGCAAGCTATGAAGCAGGCTAGTATTGGCAAACCTTGCCCCAAAGCGAAGGGTGGACATGCTCTCTGATGCATTTGATGGGCTTGGTGAGCAACAACACAGTAATGCAGCTTGGGAATTCCCACCCTGTAAAATGGAAACCAGTTGATTTTGCAAGGTAGAATGGAAGTGTAATTGTGAGATGAGATTGAAGAGAGGAAACTTACAAGAGCATCTTGTAAGATCCGGGTAAGCTTAGAATCACGATATGGAATATGATTTGTTTTACCCTGTGGACCACACGTCAAAGCATTTATTACATTGCCTAGGGCCGAAAGAGATTTATTGATGGCCTTTGCTTCTTCAAGGACTCTCCCTTCTGCTCCACTCTTCTCAACTTTTTCAGATCCCGCCAAGTCCACGAGAATCAACTTTCCTGTTTTCACCCTATTCACAGTTTCAAATCATTTTAGAACAGTTTTCTTCAGTTTTTTCACCCCTTATCCAATCTAGGGAATAAAAAACACCTTTTATCCCTTGTTAGGTCCTGTTGGATGATGAATACGTAAATGCAGTGACTTCTACTGCTGCCCACATTCATTTCTGTGAGCGTTGAAGTTTAGAAGAAAACAATAAGGCAGATGTATAGTAATACCTCCAGAAACTAACATAGATATAGAAAAAAGATCCAATAATGAGGGAAGGCTCCTTAAAAAAAGGATACGGGTCTCTCCAACTGCTCTGTTAGCTATGCCACACTACATTTTCCAAGTATATATGAGAAATGGAACCATGTAACTCTGAACTAGAGACAATTCTAAAGGAATTCTTATCTTACAGAAAGACTTTGCAATGCTTTGGCAGGGTCTGACACAGAAACCTGGAACAGGAAAGATTAGAGGTTCTCGGAAGCAAGAAAGTGCATTTAAACGTTTATTGAGGAAGTTGTTTTAGTCTAAAGCTCATCCATCACTGGCAAATACATTCATTCAAATTTTAAACTTAGACCAAGTAAGTTCCAAACTATCACACAGATAATCTGAAAGGAGGTATGAAGTACACAACCAGAAGAAGGTATCCTCCATTGTTTATGTGCATGTGATTGTGTCTGTGTGTACGAGTATAGGCAAGTGCCAAGTGCCAAGTGCTGAAGATGGTGTTCAAGGTAAAGATAAGGATTGAAATCAGGGCTGTGATACAGCGTTCAACGAAAATCCTCCAAATAAAGATGTTTATAATTTTTTATTTTTTTTTGGGAGGGGGAGTGGAAGGGAACTTGAACCCTTGACCTCAAGAAGACAAAACTTTCACAAAGACAAAGAGTACCAATAGAACAGTGTACTACTCAATAAGATTAATCAATGGCATTGCCAAATGAGGAAAAAGAACAAATGAAATGAAAAATCCTCCAAATAAAGATGTTATAATTGTAAGAACAGTGTGCTACTCAAAACAAGATTAAGCAATGGCATTGTCAAATGAGGAAAAAGAACAAATGAAATGAAAAATAATATCACCTCTGTTACTCCACACAACAACATCCCCTGAATTTTGCTCTCCTTTATTCGTATATTGTCCTTTGATAAATCAAAAAGATCCCTGAGAGAAATGACCACAGATATGAATACAGCTCATTGCAAAAGTAAAAAAGTGTCCTAGAAATTTATTGATATTCAATGTCTGGTAGGGTAATTGCTTGCAGTGACTTCTGAAGGAGGATAACATAGGAGAGATTAAGTTCCTCTGAGGCTGATACAAACCTTACTTTCTCCATATAGATCTCTGCCTGTAAGTGTGATAGAAAAAAGTTTAAATATTATGCAGCACAAGTAACACTGCAACATGTCCTAACAGTTTTATAGTGAGAAGCCAACGGAAGTGTGTCCCAATACCATGGACAATTTTATCTTGTACGAGGTTGGGTCATCAGAAAGTTCAATGGCCTTGAAAAGCCCATCCACTACTCTTGGTAGTAATCCTTTCTTCTGCTCATGACAATCTGTAATGCAGGGTCCCTGAACCAAAAAAGTCACATATGAACCTAATCTATGATGTATATACCCATCATACTGGGAAGACATGGTGATATCATCATGTCATCACCTCCATGGTATATGTCTTGCCTGCTCCAGTCTGTTACAAATGCAAGAGGAAAGCTTATCAAATTGACATAAAAGCCAGGCAGAACAGTTAATTTAATGTGAATTAAGAAGGATAAAGAGAATACATTTAACTGTATCCATTTTTTTGTCAATCCCTTAGTATATTAATAAGTTAATCCAACGGGCAATACTGCAAAAATAACTTCAATGTGCAAATTAACCCTTCTGACCCAAAGGGTATCTCAATTTTCATATGACAAGGTTTTATAGGTGGTGTAGCCCCATCACTTCTGATAGCGTTCATGCCAAATGAGTCAGTTTTCAAATAGATCATCTCAGCAGGTGAGCCAAATTCAGGAAAATCTTGTACTGGCCACTCAATTTAACCTAGGGTTAGATGTGCCAACCCTTTCCAGTGATGTAACTCAATACATAAAAATTGTTCAATCAGCAATGGCATGAGTATAGAAAGTACCATCTGATATACTGAAACATATTCTTTACTTCTACCTCATTAACGTTCATCACTTAATTCTTAAGCTTGCATCACATTTGAGCATCCTCACAAATCAAATAAACACAAACAGAGCAGTTAAATAAAGCACTATCAGAAGATGGAAAAAGATTAGAAATATCTTATTTGAAGAAGATTTCACATTGATTCAATAGCATCACTTTTCGTGATGGATTCAACAATTCCACTCTCACGGATTTTCCCGACGTGTGGGACCTACATACTGCTATATTCTTGCTCGGAGCGGAAACAAAAATATGAAGTATGAGTACATTGATGAATTTAATCACTATGCTATGTCTCAATATATCATTTTAAGTTTGGAGATCTGCATCATTTCGGTATGTAATGCTCCGATCCAACCACAGAGCACTAAGAATATCTTATCATATAATAAGTACAACAGTCTCAATTAAAAGTCAATACACTTCAGACATGATTTAAAACATGTTGCGATGAACACAATACCTGTCCATATGTGATTATCGTCCCATTTATTGCATTAACAGCATCTGTTAAGCAGGAATGTGTTCAAATGCGAAAAGTAATCAAATAATCAAATCTAATTAGAATTTGAATGTGTGTGTGTGTGGAATACCTATAACAATAGGGAGAGCGAGATACTGATAGACATCGGCTTGTTCAGATTCCTCATAGAACACCCTATCAAAGCTAAACGTATGCTCGTCTTCCTTATCATCCTACCACACATCAAATCAGATTCAATTTGAACATTCGCTCTGCGAGAAAATCACAAGCATACACAAAAATCAAGAAATCGTTTCGTGCTAAGTGAACCTTGAAAGAGAAGGTCTCATCGTCTTGGGCATCAATACAGATGCTATCTCCGTGATCTCTTCTCTCCTTCGAGTTTAGCGGTCTGAATCGTGCACAGACTGTAATTTTCGACATTGCTTCCCGGAGCTTGTGGCTATATCAGAGAGTGAGTGTGAGTGTGTGTGTGTGTGTGTGTGTGTGTGTGTGTGATAGAGAGAGAGAGAGCGCTTGGGGCTCTTTGAAATGATCTGTTTTCAAAATTCGCGGGATTTATTTTACTGCAAATACACACACACACACATATATATACTAGGTAGTTTTGAGTATACTAATTATATCATAATTGATTTAATATAAAAAATAAGATAAAATGCAACACCACAATAGAAATTGGTTTACCATCATATATTTGTAATAATATTTGTAGCAGACTAATCACTGTATGCCCTAACACATGATATATGAATCCAAATTCGAATATGTTATTTTATATTCAAGAATATGATTTGATTATGATTCGATTCAAGTGCTTCTCATCCTCGTGCAATGACAGTCCTTTATGGGCATCTTGCTATTCTAGTTGAAAAAATAAACCTCAGACTTTGCTCATTTCTCCCTTCAAGCCGCTTTGACTCTCTTCCCTAGAGGATGGTCGAAATAGTCCCCTAGATTGCCAAGCTACAGGCCTAACGTGTAACGTTCTTGGAAGAATCTGTGTCCTTTTAGGAGTGTTTGGAAGAACTTGAGGCCGCTGTGGTGGATTTCGTGATCGGCCCCTGTCAAATTAGCTTCGATCGAGTTACAAGTCGTAAATAGATCACTATAACAATTAGAAGTTCATTTTTCCAATCTTGTCTAGACTCTTCAAAAATATCTTCTTCCTTGTGCAACACTATTGTTCTCTTTGAACCTCCTGACTTAGAAGAGAGAAAACTGAAAGATGACATTGTTAGTTTCAAACTTCTTTTGTCCTTATGTCCTAACCAAAGCCTTTACTTTGTATTTTCCCTTTTATATCTGTAGTTGACTTTACCAATTTACTTCATCTTTTTCCTTCGGATGGATATCTCTTTTTGCCTACACCCTTGGGTCATTTTGTAAATCCTTGTCTTGGGAGGTAAGGTAACATAGGTTGATAGCATGCATTTGTAAAGTTGGAAGAATATACTACATCTAACTTCATGTGCATTTGGCGGCCATGTTCTGTCTGATTCCTTTGATCTTATAATTAGCCTTAGGATGACTTTTCTCAGCATCATTCTAAATAAAGGAAGCGACGGCTAAGAAAGGTTCACAAGTATGGGGAGACTCTGACCAGGGAATACTTGTGTGATTGGTCTATAGATTACCTCTTGCAACCAAGCTTTCTCTTTTACTTCTGCCCCTTTTTTTGTCTCTACAATGCAAGTTATCATCTTCAAACTCAAGACGACAACCCTCCACAAGTAAGCTATTCTGACACAGTTCTTATGTAGCACTTTGGTTTACATGTATTATGCAAATTGTATTCACTAAAATTGTACAAACTGCTATGAATAAAATTTACATTGTTATTCATTATTTTCTATCTTTTAGTTGCATCACAACTGTTAAATGGTGGAACGATTTCTTTATTGGTCATCGTCCTTCCCTAGGCCACTGGTTGTGACCTCTTGCTTTAAAGGTTTCCTTCGCGTTCTGAAACCCTCCTAGATTGTCGATCTATAGGCCTTCAAGAATTGTCCGTTGATGGATCAATGATGGTGTTTAAGTGGTAAATGTCTCCTTTCTTGACTTCGAGGAATTCAAATGGTCCTTCCCAGTTGGCCGACCATTTGCCAGTCCTTGGGTCAGTGAGTCCTAAAGGCAACTTTACTTTCCATACTATATCGTTTATGTCGAATGTTCTACTTTTTTGTATGCCCTATGCTCTAAGTTTTTGTACCTTGATGCAATCCAAAGCACCCATACGTACTTCATCCAAGTCTCCAAGCTCAATCATTATGACTTCATTGTATTTAGTTGGACTTAACCTATTCTAAAAAGCCATTCGCAATGACTTTACAGTAATCTCCATATGCAAGACCGCGTCGTGCTCATATGTTAACTTGAATGGCGTTAACTTGTATAATGTGTTTATATTGGTTTGAAAACCATAATCGTACACTATCAGTGTTTTGTCACTTCAACACATGAGTTACAAAAAAGTTAATTCAATGCAAACATAGTGTTGCTTAAAAAACAGAGTTACTGAAACATGATTAAGTGTTGGGCAACAAAAGGCCTATCATGCCAATAATCTATAATGACATTGTTGTTCAGCCATATCAACAGTGTATAGTCACTTCACGAATGTGTCATTTAAGCATATAGTTTCCTGAAAAGCTCACCAGTTAATATTCATAGAATGTTGAGGTAAATCAGTAGTGTGTAGTAATGTGAGGTCACCAGTGTATAGTTAGACATCACACTCATGTGAGGTCCTTTCATCAGTACATAGTCACTTTATCACAATCTTCAGCCCTATCAACTGTGTGTATCATTGCATGAGTGTGACGCATATGTCCTCTCCACATTAGTATCCATGAAAAATCAGGATTTTGTTACTTCAGTATATGATTTGCTAAAAAATTCACCAATTTATAGTCACATAGTGTTGTCAACTGTGTTAGTCACTGCAATACATGGTTATCTTCATAAGCAATTTCATTGATGAAGTGTGCTAAAAAGTCATGCAGGTGCAATAGCACAAGTAGTTTCTTTGGAATATTTATTCAACATGTGTAAATAACTCATTGTACACAATTTATCTCGAACCATGAATTATAGTTTGTGAAGATTATTTCAAAGTCTAGCTCATCATTGGGTGTTAGAGGATGAACTCTTCTATTTATTGAATCCTCATTTACGTTATTCAAGCTCATAAGCATAATGAGGGTTGAATTGCAATATCATTTGACAGAAAGGGGAAATCTAGTTCCATTTAGGGTTTAGTAGACATTACTCGACACAATCTCAAAAAAAAAAAAAGGAAGAGAAAAAGGTAATACCTGAATAATAAGGAAATTTGGAGCTTTGTTGATCCAAAGGATAAATTTTCAGAGAGGTAATTTTTTGGGTCGTAGAGGTGTGCCTTAAATAGAAAATTTATTCATCTTATTTTTAATTCTATATGGATTGGGAGTTTTGACTCAAAATAATTCATAATTATATATTGATCATGATTAGTAAATATTAAATAAAAAACATAAATCTAAATAAAAAAGAATATCATTTAAATTCATAAATTAATTCGAGGTTGGTTTACATATTTCTAGGCCAACAAGTCTCACGGGGGCATTGTAGACATTCCAAGTACATAACAATAAATAAAATAATCAATATAATATTTAGGGCCCAAATTTAAGTAAATAAACTTCTAAAATTAAATTGGATTAGGCTTAAATACCATAAGGCCAAATAATAGAATCCGATCATAAATTTTATAAACATAGATGACCTAATCCATAAAACTATACATTGATATTTAAGCAAATCTACATATGTCTATAAAGCAAGCAAATTAGATGGGAGAGAGATTAACAAGTCTTCCTTCCCTATTTTTTTTTTTGGGATAATTATCAATAATTATTATTTCTCCCCACAAAAATTCATTAAGTAATATCTTTTTCGTTTTATATCAATTAAGTCATATTCTTGATTTTTTATTTCAATTAACTCCTAAATTCTATTAAATTCCTTACCTTTTAATTATCAAAATCCTTTCATTTTTTTACATTCTTAGAACCAATTAAAAGGAGAAAAATTTCTTGCTTGTAAAACTAACATTTAAACCCCATTAAAAAAAAAATCAGCTAACATAAATTTTTTGACAAGATCCAAAGAAAGTACACATTGTCTTATTTCTTATCTCATTGGGGGTGCCCAATCTTAAAACTTGAGACAATATTTACCGAATATTTAATAAAATAAGAATGGTTAAAAAAACTACAGGGATAATGTTTGTCGATTAATTCCAATTTAACGTCGTTATCGATTCAAACATAACAACTAAAAAAAATTTCTAACTTAATCATTTTAAATTCAATATAAATTAATAGAATAATTTAAAAACAACGAGATAATGTGTCAATAGAATTTGTAATATAATAATATTACCTTAATCGAAGTAAGAATTAACTTTTTGTAAGAAGAAAATGCATCACATTGCAATTGAAAAGTCCTAAGTGTGTGCCGCTGAAGTTGACATACCAAAAAAAATGTAAAGTCATATAGCAATTGAAATGTCTTCAGAGTGTGTCGTCTAGTTGACATAAAGAATGCAAAAGAATGAAAGTGTTTTGGTAACTAAAGAGTTTGAATAAAATTGGAATATAATTCAATTAAAATATTAAAAATATGACTTCATTGACATAAAATATAAATGATAGGACTTAATGGATGTTTTTAGGGAAAAATAATACTTATTGGTAATTTTTTTTTAAAATTGAATTTTGATTTTTTTAATACAACAAACAAGACTCCCTCAAATCAATTCCTTATAAGTGAATCCTTTTAAAATTCCTCCATAATTTAAGTGCCTATCTCCAGGCAGTTACCTACTCCAACTCAATTTCCTCACTTCTCACTTTCCATATGTGGCACTCTTATTTTACTTTAACTTTTTCTTTCCTCTCAATTTTTTTTCTCGCTAATAGAAATACATTGTATTCTCAGAATTTTGAGAATTCTGAAGCCAAGTTCTAGAGTTTCTGATTGATGCTGTATTAGAACTTTGATTATTTTTCTCCACTTGGTTATGTGCGCTCCCCCCCCCCCCCCCCAACTTTTGAATAATTACACATATAGGTATATGTTAAAAGGTCAATACACACATAAATTGATACATTGCCACCCTTATTTTTCAAAAAATAATAATTATATAATGGATTGATTTTTCATTAAGTAGTGCCCCCACAATCCCCTAAACCAGTTAAATAATTTTTTTTTTGATCGAGTACAGCGGGAGTGAGAGTCCTAACTTATATATTGATCAATAGACAACGATTACATTTGATACATTGCCCCTATTTTCTAAAAAATGTTGCATAACTGGTCTTCATTTATAATGGTCTAGCCCACAACTCTTTTTTTTTTTTCCAATGAACCAATTCTTCAATAAAGAAGAAAGATGATTTCAACTAATCTTCGTAATAATATGAAGAACTAATCTAGTATATATAATTTTGAAATTTAAAAGAGTATCGCATTCTACTTTAATAAGATTGTATTGAATTATACAAAATAAAATACTATTTTGCACTTTTTGTCTATATTTGTTAAGGTTAAATGTTCTCGATTTTATGATTTATTTAGAAATTTAATTCTTAAATTTTTTTACATTTCTCGCCCTCTAAATTCAAAATTTTATGTTAATATTTTGTCCCCCTCTCATAAGGATTTTTGGCAAATTTTATGTTAATCAATTGAAGATAGAGAAATATGAAAGCTGACCCCTAACTTTACCAAATTAAATGAAAATCAAAGTATTGTGTGCATGAAATCATGATAGAGAGTCAACCCACATCATGTAATCAAAAGTCAAAGAATCAACCCTAGTAACTTGATATTCTTTTGAGTTTTTTTTTTCTTTTGAGTAATTCAATACAAGAATGAATTAACCCTTTCTCATTATTTGAATTGGAGATCGTTTGTGTAAAACACTGTGTAAGCGAATTGAGATAATGAAGAACTACCAATGGAAGTATCACGGTAGCGATTTCTATAAATATTTTATAATTTTTTTCTTTTCTCCCGGCTTTTTTCATCAATTTTGTCTAATGTCTGTCTTTGCCTCCATTCTCATTTCTTTTTCTCTCTCAAACATAGGACTGTCAAAATTTGATACGACACGAATTAAGCGGGTTTGAGTGAGATCTTTAACAAGTTTGAGTGATAAACAAGTTGACACGTCAAACACGTTTAATAACGGGTCGTGTTCAGATAAGACTTGTCAAACCGTTTATCACACGTTTACCCGTTTAAATAAAATTAATATAATAATAAATTAATAATTAGTTAAAAAAATTAGTAAGAAAAAAAGAAGTAAAAAAATCAATAAAAAAAATAAAGTAGTAGTTCAAAGACAAAAAAAAAGGAGATGAGGAATACTTAAAAGACAAAACAAGTCTTATTTTTCTCACGTTGGAAAATGAGGGGAGATGAGGAGGATTGAATTGTCTATAAAAAATAATGACCTCTTACCTTTTTTTTTAAGCTTTCAAGTCTTATTTGCTCCACGTTGAAAAATGAGAAGAGATGAGGAGAGTTGAGTTGCCAATAAAAAACAATGACATCTTACTTTTTTTTTAAGTTTTCAAGTCTTATTTGTTCTACATTGAAAAATAAGGGAGAATAGGGAGAGTTGAGTAAACTATAAAAAATAATCGTCTCTTATGTTTTTTTTAGGCCTTCAAATCTTATTTTTATGAAATTTGGGTAAAATTTTTTTTTTTTTGAGGTAAGTGTAATTGACAATAAAAAAAATAGAGTATTAAAATTTATTAATATAATTTTTTTAAAATTAAACGAGTTAAACGAATCGTGTTATGTTACCTGTTTATTAAATAGATCGTGTTCGTGTTGATATATTTTAATTATTTTTCACCTATTACCTATTTAACCGGACAGGTGACACGCTACTCAAACAGTCCGAATACTGGTTGGCCACATCAGCTTCAAAAGCCTGTCTTGGAGCCATCCATCTTTCTTGGTCCCGGTGTGGTACTCGACGACCAAGTCACCAACTCTCTTCAGTCTTCACAGTCTCATCCCAATGAAATGCATCAATTCAAACTCAAAGCCATGCTCTACACCAAACTAAGGTGCACCAGCTCCTCACCACTTCTTCCTCACACTTTCAAACCAGAAAAGTCAAATTCTTCCTTATCATCTTCTCTGGACTACACACAATGGCCTGGTCTTCAGAACTGGAGAGATAGTCCCATAAATAACTGCCGGTTCTGGGGATCCACTGGTCCTGAATCGTCAATTGAAGTACCCAATGAGGGTCCAATGGTTTTGGGTTCTTCACTAGCAGAGATGGGTGCTTTGGTTATGTCCACGGCCGACCCTTTAACAAAATCAAAGCTATCTCATTGGGCTTATTCTAGATGGCGCCAAGAGAAACTACCTATTGGGTCCCATGAACCGCCTACTCGACCCGCTCGTCCACCCAAACCCAAACTGGTTAGTTTTTCTAATTCTCCTGGAAACCCTTATTTGTTATGCATTTCTTAAGGTTGTAATATTTATGCGAAGTCATACATGTATTCGTATGGTTTTTGCAGATTCTTTATGAAACATTGTGGCTTAGTTTGAGTTTCCTATGATGAATGTTTATAAATGCTATCCCTGCTAAATTGCTGTTGTTATTAAATTTATTTGTGAGGTTGTGTATAGGAGGCTTTCTCTCTCTCTCTCTTTCTCTCTGAATTTATCATATATTTGTAATTGGATTGGTGGGTAATGTGCAATTGCAGGTAAATTGCTTTCTGGGTTTGGTGGTTTATATGCTAGAAATGTATCAGGGCTATTCTTGATATGGTTTTCTTGAATAAGCTTCTTAAACATCCATAATTGGAGATTTTTATGATTATGAAAAATAAGAACTGGGCTTATCTTTTGACTATGGGCGATTGCTTTACATTTCCTCTCTGTTTATTCTGGCTTTAGGAGTGTTATTCTTTTAGCTGTAGTTAAATTTCATGCATGGATTGCATTTTAAACATCTGGCCATATTATGCTTTTGAGCTGTAGTTACTGCTCATGCATGGATTGTTTGGCAGAAATGTTTAAGGGATAACGTTTAACTTTTTCTATTAGCATTTGGGATGGAGATTTTGATTATATTGTAATGTTAGAACTGCTTTTTTTTTTTTTTTGGGGGGGGGAGGGGGAGGGGGAAGAGGAAGGGGAAGGGGAAGGGGGAGGGGGAGGGGGATTTGAATCTTTGACCTCAAGAAGGCAAAACTTTTACAAAATAAGAAGTACGATTAGATCAAAGGCCTATTGGTGTGAGAATTGCTTATACATGAGTTACTAAGTTGAAAGCTATGCAATTTTTTTAATCATTTTGGTGTGATATTGATTTGTAAAATTTAGGTTTCCCCGAAGGAAATCCCAGCTCCCAAAAACTCAGGATTGCCTCTCAATGCTTATATGCTCCATAATCTTGCCCATGTTGAGCTCAATGCTATTGACTTGGCATGGGATACTGTTGTGCGATTTTCACCATTTTGTGAACTTCTTGGAGAAGGGTTCTTTGCTGATTTTGCTCAAGTGGCTGATGATGAGAGTCGCCACTTTGCTTGGTGTTCACAAAGACTGGGTGAGCTTGGATTTTGGTGAGTGACAGTTGTTAGTTGGATACTTTTCTAGTTTTCACTAATGTGCTGACTTTCAGAAAATTTTCCTCTCTTTCTGAATAGCTATGGGGATATGCCAGCTCATAATTTGCTGTGGAGGGAGTGTGAAAAATCATCTGATAATGTTGCCGTACGCCTGGCTGTGATCCCACTAGTTCAGGTAATATCTTCAACTTGGGAAGTTCGCAATGCAAAACTTAATTTCTTACATTCAGAAGTGTTTATATTTTGAAGCTCTGATACTTTCTGCCCTTGTTATTTTATGCTAGGCCAAAAACAAAAGTCAAGGGTATATTGATGTAGTCAAGCAACAGAGAAAAAAGAAACAGTGAACAAAACAATGAAGATTGAATAAAAAAGATTTTTTCAACCATAATGCAAGCTGCAGTAAGTAGGCAATAGCAAAGGTAAGGAGAAAGTTTCAGTGGCCTTTTCTATTCAGCAGGTCTCAAAAACAAACTATTTCTGCACCTATACCGCTCCAAATCGATCCCCTCAATTAACTCGCCAAGTGGAACATAATGCCTCCTAAACATAATAATAACACGTACTATTTTCTAGTCTTATTCTGTCCTTGAGCTCACTTTTTTAGAGCTGCGTCATATAGTTTATGTAATTTAGACTGAGGTGAGGCTCTTTAGGTCATTGGGGCATCTTTTATCATTTTTATATCTTGAAGAAACAAACTTAAAGAGTTGCGGTTGAGTATTTCTTTCTTGTTTCAGTATATTGTTGTTTGAAATTACAAATACATCATGAATTAGATTGGAATGGTTGAGAAGAAACAGGTGAAATCTTTTCCGTCATAGGTTTCCCTTGGAAAAATATTGCTTCTAGCTGAAGCAGTGGCTTCAGGTTTGAAGTCATTTTTTGAGAACCTTCATCCACATCCTCTATGAGATCTGCTTTTTTCAGCTGTCACGTTTTCAAAAAGCTAATTACCCAGCTTAGTCCTTTTTTGTATTGAAGATGCTGGGACTGGTCTTTTGGTATTATTTGCATAAAGGTTCATTGCTCAGTCTAGTCCCCATTAATCGAGGGTGCTAGAAGTGTTGGACTGGGGCAAATCTAGCATCTTTTATTGTTTGTACAAAGTGTCTGCTCTAATACATAGAATTCACAATCTCACAGTTGCTAGCTTGACACTTACACCTCTGCAGTAGGTATGGTTGTTTATAATCCAGTTTGGTACCCATTAACTGATGGTGATTAGTCTTATAATTGTCTTAGACATTTGCCAAAGTTTATGTGGCTCTAAGTTTCCTTGTTCTGGGAAAACTTTCCATTCGCATTCTATGTCCTTATATTTGTTGGTAGGACTTCAAACCAGTTAGGCACTGATTATCAAGAGGTTCATCTTACCTGGGAAAGTGATTATACATTAGAGTAAAAATCATAGTTGGTCCTTGAACCTTGTCTTTGGTTTCAATTTGGTTCTTAAACTTTTGATTGTCCCAAATTAGTCCCTCAACTATTAATTTTGTCTTAATTAAGTCACTTCGTCCATTTTCATCGTTAGATCAATGCTGAAATATATCAGATTGGGCTATTCTCCGGTTGATCTAACAGTGAAAATTGATGGAAGCACTTAATTGAGACGAAAGTGATAGTTTAGTGGCTAAATTGGGATAATTGAAAGTACGGGGACCAAATTGAAACCAATTTTTATTATCATATTCAATAAAATGCAAGATTTTCATAAATCTGTAAGACCAAACTCTTTGCTTTTGAGCCGAAGACATCTATATGAGACTTGTAATCACAAAAATTACTCAGTTGTCTACGTTTTCTCCCTGTTAAGATTATAACCAAATGCATATCAGTAGGAAAATAGACCTGACAGATTTATGGCTCATCTCCATATATTCCATATGTGATGTGTTTCAAATCCAGTGCCCATGTTTTGTAGTGTATTGTTAGAGCTATGGTTTTATCTTCTATTCTGATGGGATGACATTTTCCTTTGTTTTCCCCCTTGCTATAGGAGGCCAGAGGACTTGATGCTGGGCCTCGGCTTGTGCAAAAATTAATTGGCTTTGGAGATTGTAGGTCTTCCAACATTGTAGCCCGGATTGCTGATGAAGAAGTTGCTCATGTGGCAGTTGGTGTTTCCAATTTCGTCTCAGTCTGCCAGAAAATGGGTCGTGCACCTTGCCCCACTTTCAGAGGTTCTCTTTCCCTCGATATCAACTGTTTATATTTCTTTAGGTGCTGAGAACAGTAATTTCATCTATTTATCTATTCCGGAAAAATGTTCACAAGCTTCCATTCTGATGTTTTCTTGTTTTCCTTGCTCTCATTTGGTGACTTTGCAGACTTGTTGAAAGAGTACAATGTTGAGTTGAAAGGGCCCTTCAATTATTCAGCTCGAGATGAAGCTGGTATTCCTCGCCAGTGGTAAGAAAATTAAATGATCTTGATAGGCCATTTTATTCACAAGAATTGAGTGCCTTTGGGTTGAATTAGTGTACCACATTTTATTTCCGAGCCCAATATGATTCGATCAATTGGTATCTGACTCGACACCTTCTGTTTTGATACCGATATATATTATGTGTAAACTACGAGTCTTACTTGGCTCGTGGTTTATTGGAAGACATCTCGGTCAAGTCCTCTGAATCATCATTCCATGAAGATGTGACACCGGAATACGACCTGGATCTCTCAATCCAACTTCTTATTGTGGCCGGTGTGTTTCAACACTCTTCAACTTGAATGGCGGATACTGCGATCTTGGATCATGATTTAGAGGTGGAAGATGTGTTTTGCTAAGGAGTAGGTTTTTATTTGGGTGAAAATAATCGAAAACTTTTAAGATTATCAATCCTTAAAAAAGATGTAAAACTCTCGTAGAAACACAATTTCTCTTATTTTTAGACTAATAGTAACACAAGACATTGCATGGAGAAACTTGTTTTATGTCAAAGAAGAAAAAGGGAATAAAATAATTATAGTGGATTTAGAACTCGTGAACTCTTGCAGCGTAGCAATAGTTTTATTAAAAACACTTGTGTTATTATTATTTGGATGTACTTGTAGACATATTTATTCTTTTACAAAAATTATTACAATATGAAACACAATATGTAGGTGATAAGCTTTGGAGAGCTAAGTAGTCAAGATAAGTAGTTGGGATAAAGCGTAGTGAATTGAGTTGACGAGGATGAGGATGAGAGGATGAGGATGAGGATGAAAAGTTCAGCACCAAAAGGGGATTAGAAGGCATGGCGCAACTTAGGTTTCAAATTCGACAAAAATATCTTTATTATAAAGTTTTGTTTGGAAACAACCAATCAGTACTTTTCTGTATACTAGTTGATGCACAAGTGCTTTGCTCGTGAATTATTTCAAGTTTAGGTCTCTGACTTGATAAGGACCATGTATTATTTCCATCACAAACTTGACTGATCGTTAGACCAGTATTTGCAAAAGAAGCTTAGCTTAGTTTCTACCAGAATTTTTCAGAACTGAATGTTTATCCTGTTCCTTTAATATATCTCATTTTGAGATCATAACTTTATTATAATGTTCTAAATATTATACATAGACTACCAAAAGGGGGCCTCACCAAATTGCTTAGAGATGGCTTTGCATTCTTAATCTATCATCAATTTTTGGGAATTTTGCCCAATCATGAGTCAAATGATGTCACGTAGTCTCTCTTAGATTCTCTATGCTGCATTGCCACTTTTATTTTGGCCTCTGTCTTTGTCTCTGGCATCCAAGCCTTAGGTAATTTAACCCTTTTTTACCTTTTCTAGAACATCTCCCATTGTTTGATGGACAACAAAGTGATATCGCAGGCCAAATATGGTAATGAAGGAATTATAAAATAGGCAACTAATAGAAGCATCCCAAAAATAAAAATAAAAATAAAAATGGGACAAATTGGTAAAACAAGACAGTTTCACATGACAAGTTATATGCCAAAAACTCACTTATAAAACCAACTGTGTTCAGTGTTCCCATGTTGATGTATTACTCTCTCTTCAAAATGAAAAGAACATGTTGTGCATATAAGAGAACTTGTCTCTTATAAAGAGATTAGGTACTCATCTCCTATTTTTCTTTATCTGATGCCTTTGGTTCATTTCATTAGTTTTTGTGAGATGAAAAAAGTTGTGTGTTGTAAAATTTTCATAGGGTAAACCCCTGACCTCATCCCGAATTCAAAAGAAAACAGATAGGAAAATTACTGTTGAGAGCATTATTATTATATTGTTATTATATTATAACAATAAATATAAGTTGAGAGTGAGAGTGAGAGTAGGATATGATTACATCTTCTCCCCCTCCTTTCTTCTTCCAATTCTCTTGTTAAGTTTGAACGTGGTATCAGAGCCAAAATTGTACTAATTTGATCTAAATTCACTCTTTTTTTCCCTTTATTTTCAAGCTCTTAATGTATGTGGTCTTCCCTTTCTTCCTTTTTTTTCTTCCTTCCCTATTCTATGTGACCATGGTCACCAACTAGGGTGCTTACCCTGTTCTGCATTAACGTTGACACTGGTTGTTGGTTGAGTGTTATCTGTGGTGCGATTGCAATTTGTGCAATCGTTGAATTGCAATTTGTGTGACGGAAGCATAGATAAAACTCGGGGCCAAGTTCAGTGTTTAAAAAAAAAAAAAAGGCCTAGCCCAGCATTACAGGTCAACAGCGCAGGTCCCTTAGCCCATGACATAACTGGGTCCTCCAGTCCAACAAGTTCCAACCCAAATCCACTCCGGCTTAGTGCAGCTGCTCCAGGGCCCGACTCAACCGGCCCAGCCCGTCTCTTCATCGATTCGGTCTGGTTTAGACCGATTTTTGTCCGGTTCAGGCAGATCTTTGATTTTAGATCGGTTCAGCCTTCGTGCTCTCCAGTTCTTGTTGCTTCTCACCTACTCCGTCCAGTTTAGTCATGCACTGTGTGCATTCTGCCTGGTTCAGCAACTTTTGACACTGGTTCAGCAGTACTCTGCTCCGGTTCAGCGGATAACAAGCTTGTTTCACTGCTTTGAACGTTGTCCCAGCCCTCTTCTTGTTGGTTCTGTTAGTTTAGGGGCTGCTTCCTATTTTCTTTTGTTCGATTCAAAAGTTTGGAGGGAGATAGTTATTTCCAGCTTTCATTCCACCCAGCTACAGCCCCTTAGATGCTCCACTTTCAGTAATATATGGCCCAGTGTTTTGAAAAGCTCGCTTAGGCACTCGCCTAGGCGAGCTTATCTTGCCTGGAGGATCCCAAGCAAAGCGAACGTGAGCGAAGCGCGAAAAAGCGAACGAACGCTTTATTATAAGAGCTGACTCTGCTTCCCTTTTTTTTTTTTTTTTTTTTTCTGATCACAGGTTAGTAGTCTCTTTTTTTTTTAATCACTGATGAATTTTTTTTTAGACTATCGTTGATATATATTTTTTTTTTTTCTGATAAGCAATTTTCTGAACAAAATACATTCTTTTTTTTTTTTGTGTTGCTGAATTTATTTAGAATATTTGTGGGATGTGGGAGTCAGGCGACTACATGACAAAATTATGATAAAGAAAGGAAGCAGGAGTATCAGGAATGGGGTAAATAATAGAGTCTTCTACAAAGAAGTGTCTCTGATATGTCTTGGTTATACTTTTCCCTTTTCTTATATATATACAAATGGTACCAAAAAGTGGTCTATGCTTATACCATGTTTAATTATTTTAGTACATGAGAAATGTGCCTCTGTTCTGCTTTTTTTATTCGGTACATAATTACATATGAAATTGTTTACAATTAATTCTGCTCTTGTCATGATTATTGTGCTTCTGTTTTTGTTTTTTTAGCTCATTCTGTTTCTATATTTTTTTGTTGATTCTGTTGTTGCTTTGGTTTTGCTGTCCTGTGCTGTTTTTTTTTTTTTTATCCTCATTTTGCTTCTTTTTTTTTGTTGCTGATTCTGTTGCTGTCCTGATCCTGCTTGTTTGGCTGTCCTACCCTGCCAATATGAAAATGTATACAATTGTTAGTATTTGTTTGAATTTAAATGTTTAAGTTATGATTGTTATTAAGATTTGAGATATTATTAGTGTTTGTTTTAATTTAAATGTTTATGGTTTTACTTGCATTTAAATATTTAGTATATATAAAATTAGAACTTAGATTGTTTAGAAGTAATTAAACTAAAATATATATATTTTTTAACTGTTCACTTTGCTTCGGTAAAGCGTGTCGCTTCGCTTCTCGCTTCTCGCCTAGGCGTTAGGAGCCTTGGTCGCTTCAGTTCGCTTTACGCCTTAAATAACACTGATATGAGCATAGATTCCACAATAGTCGACGACAGACGCTCTTCCTCTTGGCTATCCATCGAATGTCTCCCCGTCCTCTTTCTTTCATGCTTCTATGATTTTAGTTGAGCTCATTACTTACATTTTATGGTCCCTATCTGTTCAAGTTTATCTTAAAGACAAAGGTCTTAAGAATTATTTAGTTGGAGCCATACCCAAGGATATTGACCCTCGAGATGTGGGATTGTTTGGCACACATGTGTTTTGGCATTGGTAATTTCACTCATGCTTATGAGGTATGCAAATAATATTTTATCTTGAGTAGTGTACTCTGAGTGTAGAGGACTATTATTCTAGAGTTGTGGGTGTTTGTGACGAGTTGAGGATTCTCCACCAGTTCACCATTGATGTCGTGTGCATGGAGTGACAATGTGAGGATTTGGATGTTGTTTATTTTCTTATTCGTTTGAAGCCAGAGTATGAGCCTATTCGCGCCCAAATCTTGGGTAGTCTCACTTTTCTCTCTCTTCTAGATATGTTTTTTTTTGCTTACAGCGTGCTACTTTGTCTGATGACCATTCTACTTCAGGCATTGCTCATGGTTCTTCTACTGATCGCTCAGCCCTAGTAGCCTCCCTTGGCAACACTAAAAGTATTCATAGTGGTGGCTGTGGTGTCGTGACTCTCGAGGGGGCTGTAGTAGAGGCCATACTAGTACTCATTTGTGTACTCATTGTGATCCTACCAACCACATTGTTGATTATTGTTGGGATTTTTATGCCAAGCCATCTGATGCTGCCAATTAGGTCTCCTATAAGGACGATACTTCTTCATTACCAGCATTATCCCGTTTGGCCCCTCCCCACTCTAAGTTAGTTACTATTACACGAGAGGAGGATGTTTAGTTCATGCCTGTTAACAAACATGTAACGGCCCAATTCTACAATGGAGACATTCACTAACCATACGTCATCCAGCCAAATAAAATCCAATTAAAGTACAAATAAATCCTTGAGATTACATTCAAATCTAGAATACTAAATCTAACCACTAGCTCATAAAAGAAATATTCTAAACATTATCCAATCAACTAGAAATTGAGAAATTTAAACTAAAGGAAACATCTTTAGGTGTTTACTTTTGAATCCACATCATGATCTGCCTCAACATCCCAATTAACCTACTCACCTAAGGTTATGTCCTCTTTAAAGCCAAAATTTTAAAATATGTTTATATTGTAGGGTGAGCAACAAGTCTACTAGGAAACCTTTTCAAAGCCAAACAAAGTTTCAAAATAATTAAAAAAGATAAGTCTCATTTGGTAAATAATATATCATAATTTGAAGTAAAATAAGGGCAATTAATGAGATCTCAAGTTTATGGTACAAACGGTAAAGTACATAAAGAAAAAGGAACAATTCTCAAAGCAATAGTTGATCATCACAAGTATATCTCATGTACGTAGGTAGACTATCATGAATAAACATATAGAGTATATCTTGGTCCACACTCACACACATTATCATCAAGCTAAGACTCGTAAGGATACACCACTTTAGGAATGGCGTATACCGACACATCGGCATTGAGGAATTCTTTCCAGAAATAGTATATTAGCTCCCGGCCTCGATTCTCGTGAGCGAGTAGTGCGAAGTCTTAAGCCTCGCAAGGAGCCAAGCAATTCCACTGTGAGTGATAGGGAATGTTCAAATCCCTCAAGGCAAGAAATGCATTTATGCAATCTAAGATATACATTCGAAGGTAACCGACATTCATTACACTCCCAATACAAAAGATAATTTCCATATTTTTTCGTAAAATCCACATAATCACGAATCAAGATTCTACATTTGTCAAAATAGAATAACTACACGAAAGTATGCAAGAGATCTTCAAAAAATATCTTTCAATTGATTATAATCAAGAATTAGGGTTTTTAAATTAAGAACGTGATATTTGTGATGTAAAACATGTAATTCTTCCGTGAAAAAAATATATTATCGAAAAGAGTGTAAAATATTGTAGATCTATTATATATAATTGAATAGGAATCAAACATATATATAGGTAACCCTAACCCTTAATGAGTGAACTTGAGAAAAAATCCTACCTTAATTTCCATAGATCTTAATCCTAACATGTTTGGTTGTGATTTCCAGCGTAAATCCTTTGAAATCTGTCATTTTTTCGTTCTCCTAATTCTCCTTAGCTTGTTAGGGTTGCAAACTGTTGAAAACTGACATAAGGAGGGACATCCTTAGGGTCAAAAACTGTTTAGTCGGCGCGAGGCTGATTGCTGCAAAATGCGCACTCACGTTCAAACACGAATGGTGTTCGAACGTAACTTGCATTCGAACTTGCTTTACTCCCAGTATTTGCAGTTCTGTCTATCAGACCTAAACTAGTGTGGCTAAGCTGCGTTCGAACATACTCCAGTTTTCTGCTTGAACTTCCAAAATAGTTTTGGCTTAGTTAGAAGTCGATTTACAAAATTTTTTATGAAATACATTTGTGTAGTCCTTGAAGTCTAGTTTCTAATGTCCAAATATTAGATCAATTGGATTTCAGGATAAAAAGTTATGATTAAAACCTTAATGTTGCATCTAATTCCTTTCTACCTAACTTCTCTCAAAATGCATTTAAGATTCAATACATTTCCAAACTTCTTAAACACCTATATCACCAATTCTTAAGTCATTGTATATACATGCAATACATGATAATCTAATATACTTTACAATAAATACATGGGGGCTTACAAGACAATATTATCTTCCTCCACTCCTACTTTTGTTCAGTTAAGTACCCTTTCCACTTGTTTTCTGTCCTCTCTCCAAAATCTCTGGATCATAGACTCTGAAATTTTTAATCACATGATTGGTTTGTCTAGTGTCTTTTTTTACTTGTTATTTTGTTATTTTCCCTTATAGAGACTCTGATCACCATGGTTCAAGATCGCAGTATCGATCATCGATTGGGAGGGCACTAAGACATATTGGTCACGGCGTTGTAGTGCAGTATTGACCGATAGGCTTAAAATTCTAGGTAGAAGGCCCAAAAAATTATAGAAAAATAATGAAAAATTCTAAAACTTGTAAATATCATCAGTCATGCATCATATCTCCAAAATACATTAGTTAACACATTAAACATGGTGAAAATGAATTACGAGAGTGTTACTAGAAATATTTATCATTACTTGTAAGCATTTAAAAACATATTAAGCTTTAAGTATATAGTATTATAATTATGCATCTATCAATTATAAATTTGATAAAAAACAAGAAAATCCAAAACCATGCCTTCTAAAATAGAAAATCCAAGCTGACCTATACAAAAGGTATGAGTTTGTGTTTACTGTGGGTATCGGTCAAGAGAAAGAGAGAGAGAGAGAGAGGGGGGGGGGGAACAAAAAGGGGTAGACGAAGTGACGAACAGACAAACAAAGAGGGGGAGAGCTTGCGAACTGAGATTTGTGAAGCTTGCGTCTCCAAGCTTGGGGTTTCTGAAGCTTTGATTCGCGATTTTTGTCTTCGATCATGCAAGTTTGTATTACAAATCTTTTGATCTTTTTCTTTTGTGTATATACTTGTAAAAAGGGGTGAAGTTACGTTTGATTTTTTGCGATTTAGGGTTTGAATCAGTCTCTTTTCCCTTTCTTTGACCT